AAAACTAATATTTTAAAGCTATTTTTACGGAAGGCCACATTTTTTGAAACCACCTATTTTTTTTTCGAATTATGCAATGTCGTCACATTTTTATTAATAATATTCTAAGTAATAAATATTTCGTAACTTTGAGTCCAGAATTAATTTAACGACATTTTAACAAATGTAATTGTCAAATTTTAAAATTATATCTTAACAAAGTTATTATGTAAAATGTAACTGCGTTTTTATTTTAGATTTGATAAATACATTTTGATAAATATATTATAATCATTAAAATGTTGTATCTGTCGAAATGTTATCTATATAAAAAATTAATTGTAGCCAAGCAATGGCAGTGATGACACTTGATATATTATCAGTCTCACAAAATTTTGTAAAATAAAACGGTGTTGATGCGATTTGTGCCGCCGCGTATGTGGACGTGTATTTTTTCCTTTGCTTTACTTTGATGTTTGGAATACTTAGTGATGGGTAGCGAACAAATAATGTCTGCCTTGTAACAGGATAAAATCAAATGTATTTCAATTATGTATTACAAAAAAACTTGCGCTACAGTCTCGATGTGAACAAAGACTAACTATAATTACATAACTAACAAAACTAAGAGAGAGACATATGCAGCTCTCCCGCGAGAAACGTAATCTAACAAACGTTAACATTAGGGCAACGCGTCAGTAAAAGCAACAGGACATACGCAATAAAAAGAGTAAGAAAAAATAAGCGCGGCGCGTACAAACAGATTATTTTAATCTTTCTATTCATACTGCTGATTTCTCAAACATAAATTCCCAAGTGCGATGGCCAATTGACCCTTAAAAAAACGTTTAAATGATAGCATGTTTATGATAAAAAATATTATATCAAAGCATAATAAATAAAGATGTGTAAACGTAATATGATATCATTTATCTTGGTTCACAAATTTTGATTGACAAATCTACCAAAATTATTAAAATATTCTAGCAAAATTATTCTAAAAAGATTGTTTTTGGATAAGCAGTTTGACTTACTCGAAAGCTTAAACATTAAAAATAAGTTTTATGCATATTAACAGGGCTCGATAAAATTATTATCGAGCTATACCTCAAATAGCATAGCAGCGCTTGCAAAGCGCTAAAAAAGCGATTATATTATGCGGTTTTTTAGCGCTTAAATTTGTTAATGTTTTGTAAGCAATGTTATGTGCTACTTGAGATTTAGTATTCATAAACAAGTTTGTACACGCACTACGTACATACCAATTTTTTTATTGTATTATTGATAGAAAATATTATAATTTAATTTGATTCTAATTTTAGAAAGTATTAAACAGCGCAAAGGAACATCTTTCAAAAGGCTACTTATATGATTCTTTAATTCCTTGGTTAGGAACTGGATTACTTACTAGCGAAGGTATCATACAAAATTATCAAATTTCTTAATTGCAATATAAAAAGTTCCAAATAAAGTTTATGTACAACTTTACATGTGTTCTTTATATAAATTATTATTAATACATAACACAAAATTACAATATAATTATATATTTAATGTTATTAATATGTACAAATGAATGCGAAATATTGAAGTTAATAATAATAAAAAGACAATATAAAAAGAAAATATATATTAAAACAAAATAAGAAATAAAAATTAAAAATACACAAAATGACAGGGTATTGAAGAGCCAATCGCAGAACTTATTGCGTAATACAATTTATATATTCTATCAATAATCACATTGAGTTGTTATTTAAACCTAATCTCGTAAATTCGAACAGATAGTCGAAGTATATCAGATTTCGAATTTACAAGATTAGGTTTGAATAATTCAACTCAATATGATTATTAATAGAATATAGAGCAAGGTCACTGTTGCCGACATACCACTTTGTTTTTAGACAATATTTCTTACACAAGGGGTAAAAATAAAACTTTAAGTACATAAATATAAACTAAAAAGTGTCTCCTATCAGATAATATAAGCAATTTTTATAATACAGTTTGTAATTTTGCAATAATTAATTTTTTCGTAGGTAAGTAAAAATAAGCGCTCGACAAAATGAGCTCTAAAACTGACACAGTAGGCAATAATGCCACATATTCATATTCTTTTCCTTTTACAGAAATTATCTGTATAAAATACCTACAAGTAAATGTATATAAGATTCTCCAGAATCTTTTCATTTCGATATAAAATATTTTTGTTGAATTATATGCGTATTTACTTTATGCTGTTTTAGAAGATGCAAATATGTAACACAATAGTTTTTCAAGGGCTTTTCTATATATGTACCATTGCCTTCAGCTTCGATAGAGTTATTTGACGCTATAAAGCAACATTATAAATATTAAATTAGGTCATGATTTGTTTTACAGACAGATGTGCCAGTTTACGCTGCATCCCAATTTTATATTTAAAACTGTATTATGAAAAACTTAAGAAAGAAAATAATGTAAGAACTGATTTAGGAAACTACAAGCATTTCAAATAACGTAATATTATCAATAATATATAGTCACTATTATTTAAATTACGCAATTTGCAAAAAAAAATCGTAAGAATTTTATTTTCGCATTCGTTTTTAGCTAATTTTATATAGAAATAAGCCACAAATATATGAATTATGTGTTTAAACCTTTTTAATTAATTAAACAGATCATGTTATTATTAGTATTAATAAAGTACAATAATCAGTTTCTGAGAAATAAGGGGATTTCGTTTTAGGAGAGCTATATCGGCTTTCCTCTATAAATTGTTGTACGCAATAAGATCTGCGGTTGGCTCTTCAATACCTTGTCATTTTATGTATTTTTAATTTATATTATTTAGAGCCCTTTTATTATTATTATTGCACTATTAAAAAATAACAATTAACATATGGCTGAATTAAATATCATTATTTTTAGATAAAAAAACACAAGCATACAACTTTTAAAAATCTGTTATACAAAAAAATTTAATTTATATCAAGATGAATAAAACATAGCTGGACAAAGTATGCGAAGCAAATTTTGATGCTGCAAATTATCTAAGTTTGCTATTTGATTTTTGTTATAGGAACCAAATGGCATAAAAGGCGGAAGATATTAACACCTACGTTTCATTTTAATATATTGAAACAATTTGTTGAAATTCTAATTGATGAAGGAAATCGTATGGCAAAATTTTTGAAAGATACTAATGGTTCTGTTAATGATTTAATCTCCCTTGTCAGTCATCATACAATGAATGCAATATGCGGTAAATTAATATATGTATATATATATATATATA